TCCTGTGCGTATGACCATTTTGACTTAGAGAAAAGAATAAGCAGTGGCAACTTTGGAGAGTACTATTTTGGATCATTGTCTTGTCTAATGCTGAATGGCGAATGCGTAATTGCTTAGTAATATCCATTGTTACTGTTAGTAATATAATATCCTACCTATTTAAAAAGCTATTAATTAATTTATACCCATTTTGTTTTAGAAGCAATGGATGCTAGAGATTCAGATTCAGTAAACGATGAGGAGTCCGTTGAGATTATAATGGGAACAGAACGAGATCTTGGAAGCGAAAGTATGGAGAATACAAATACGAGTTTTGCAAAGAAAAAGGCTAGAACAATAAAACTTCGATATCCTGTTTGGAACACTTTCACTAAATTGGATACTATTTTTGAAGATGGTAAATGTCATGCTCAATGCAAAGATTGTAAGAAAGTAGTGATAGATGATAGTCATCATGGGACAAGAAATATGAAAAGACATTTGAATACATGCCCTGCAAAGAATAATGTTGAATTGTTTATGTCGGAATCTGAATTGTGTTCCCAAAAGTTTGATCCTCTGGTATTCCGTGGCTTATTAGTAGAGGCAATCATCAAGCATAATCTTCCTTTTAATTTTATTGAACATGAGTGAATTAAGGCTTTGTTTGCATATGTATGTCCTGATATTAAACTACCATGTCGAAATACTATCAAAGCTTGTGTGTTGAGGATGTTCAAAACTGAAAAACAAGCACTGCATAATTTGTTAGGCTCGGTTAAAGGTAGAATTTGTTTGACATCAGACTTATGGTCATCTCAGTGCATTGATGGGTATCTTGCACTTACTGCTCACTTTGTAGACAAGGATTGGAAATTGAATAAAAGGATTATAAGTTTTTGTCACATGCCTCCTCCGCATACTGGTGTTGCATTATGTGAGAAAATAAGTGCGTTGGTGACTGAGTGGGGGATTGAGAAGAAGTTATTTTCTATTACCTTGGATAATGCTTCTTCAAATATTTGTTTTGTTAATATTTTGAGGAATCAATTAAATATTAGAGGTCTTCTCTTGATGAATGGTGATTTCTTTCATGTGCGTTGTTGTACTCATATTTTGAATTTGATAGTCCAAGATGGACTTAAAGAAATTGATTCTTCGGTGATAAAAATTCGTGAATGCATCAAGTATGTAAAGGGTTCTGAGGCTAGGAAACTAAAGTTTCAAGAATGTGTTAGGCAAGTAGGGATATTGGATAGTAAGAGAGGTTTGAGACAAGATGTCCCTACTAGATGGAACTCAACCTATCTTATGCTAGATATTGCCATTTTCTATCGATATGTTTTTATTAATTTAGGATTGAGTGATTCAAATTTTGAAAGTTGTCTTTCTTCTGAAGAGTGGGATAAAGTGGTGAAGATTTCGAAGTTTTTGGGGTACTTTTATGATGTTACATGCTTATTCTCTGGAATAAAGTACCCCACATCAAATTTATTCTTCCCTAAAGTGTTCGTAATTCAGCTTCAAATTAAGGCAGCCATTGATGACTGTGATAGTTTCATGAATAAGATGGGGAATTATATGCACTTGAAGTTTGAGAAGTATTGGTCAGATTACAGTTTGATTATGTCAATTGCAATCATCTTGGATCCTCGTTATAAGCTACATTTTGTGGATTGGGCTCACACAAAGCTTCATGGCGTGAATTCTATGGAATATAATAATGTTTATGCCACACTGACTGCTCTCTTTAATGTGTACTCGGAAATATATGCTCATTTTAATTATTCAAATATTCCAATGAACTCGACGCCTAATCATCAAATAGAAGGTGGAGATGCTCTCTTTGAGGTAACATAAAGTTTTTATTTTCCTTTTTATACATAGTACTTTAAAACTATTAATATTATATTAGAAATTGGGTTATGCATAATTTTTATGATGTTTATGTTTTTATTTTATTTTTTTGATGTAGGATTTTGATAATAATTAAACTCAGTTGAAAAAGGTGAATTACAGAAGTATTTGGATGATAAAAGACTAGATAGAAGACAAGATATAGATGTTCTTTTTTGGTGGCAAATGGAGCGTTTTCATTATCCAATACTTTCTCAGTTAGCATGAGATGTGCTAACAATTCCTATTTCAACTGTTGCGTCAGAATCTGCTTTTAGTATTGGGGGTAAAGTGCTAGATCAATATCGTACTTCATTGTTGTTAGACACGGTTCAAGCTTTGCTGCGTACACGAGATTGGCTTTTTGGAAAAGGAGGTAGTATATCGTTTATATAATATAGAACTATTTTTTTTATCTTTTCATAATTATTTTTAGTACCCATAATTTGAATGGTTTACATACAATGTTTGATTTTTCTATGTTTAGTTTATGCAGAAGAGAGTGCTTGTAACATCCCACATCGCCAAGGGGAGTGATCCTTAAATGTATATTCCCATCCCTACTTAACACGAGGCCTTTTGGGAGCTTACTGGCTTCGGGTTCCGTAGGAACTTCGAAGTTAAGCGAGAAGGGGGCTAGAGCAATCCCATGATAGGTGACCCACTGGGAAGTTGCTCATGAGTTCCCAAAAACAAAACCGTGAGGGAATGGTAAGCCCAAAGCGGACAATATCGTGCTACGGTGGTGGAGCGGGCCAAGGAAGTGATCCGTCCCGGACGGGGATGTGACAATTGGTATCATAGTCTAACCCTGGCCGCGTGTGTGCCAACGAGGACATCGGGCCTTTAAGGGGGGTGGAGTGTAACATCCCACATCGCCAAGGTGAGTGATCCTTAAATGTATATTATCATCCCTACTTAACACGAGGCTTTTTGGGAGCTCACTGGCTTCGGGTTCCATGGGAACTCCGAAGTTAAGCGAGTAGTGCGCGAGAACATTCCTAGGATGGGTGACCCATCGGGAAGTTCTCGTGTGAGTTCCCAAAAACAAAACCATGAGGGAATGGTAAGCCCAAAGCGGACAATATCGTGCTACGGTGGTGGAGCGGGCCCGGGAAGTGGTCCCACCCACATCACCAAGGGGAGTTATCCTTAAATGTATATTCCCATCCCTACTTAACACGAGGCCTTTTGGGAGCTCACTGGCTTCGGGTTCCATGGAAACTCCGAAGTTAAGCGAGTAGCGCGCGAGAGTATTCCCAGGATGGGTGACCCATCGGGAAGTTCTCGTGTGAATTCCCAAAAACAAAACCGTGAGGGAATGGTAAGCCCAAAGCGGACAATATCATGCTACGGTGGTGGAGCGGGCTCGGAAAGTGGTCCCACCCGGGTCGGGATGTGACAAATTGGTATCAGAGCCTAACCCTGGCCGCGTGTGTGCCGAAGAGGACGTCGGGCCCCTAAAGGGGGTGGATTGTAACATTCCACATCGCCAAGGGGAGTGATCCTTAAATGTATATTTTCATCCTTACTTAACACGAGGCCTTTTGGGTGCTCACTGGCTTCGGGTTCCATGAGAACTCCGAAGTTAAACGAGTAGCGCGCGAGAGCATTCCCAGGATAGGTGACCCATCGGGAAGTTCTCGTGTGAGTTCCCAAAAACAAAACCGTGAGGGAATGGTAAGCCCAAAGCGGACAATATCGTGCTACTGTGGTGGAGCGGGCCTGGGAAGTGGTCCCACCCGGGCCAGGATGTGACAGTGCTAATGTGGAAAGCCTCAATGAAAACATCATCAATATAACTCTTGAAGATAATCTATCAAGCCAAAGTTCCAATACTTTTTCCCATGGTGATTGAGGAAAATTGAAAGGTTTGATTGGAAGAAAATGTGCAAGATGTTCTAATGTTCCAATGTCCTTAATTTTGCAAATCTTTTGAACATTTGATATTTTGTAATGTTCTAATGTTTTTTTTATTATGCTCTTATTTTGGATATGTAAATATACTTAAAAGAAAATTGTGTTTTTATGTTTTGGTTGAATGTGACAATATGGTATGTATTATCTATCATTATAGATTATCAGTCTATCACAATTTGACATGTTGGTAGAAGATCAAATTTGAGGAATGGTTTAGGGTTATTAGTAATAAGTCGGTTTAGGTTTAGGGTTATTAGTTTGGGCGTGCAACCTTTTTTTCACGCAAAAAAGTATTATGTTTTTTATTTAATTATTTATTAGTTTAAAATATATTTTTCTTAACGGGTAACGGGTCGGGTCATATTACCCGTTAATATTATCGGGTCGATTTCAGGTCGGGTCATTTTACCCGTTTATTTTAATGGGTGTTACACGACACGACCCGTTAAGATATCGGGTATGACACGAAAACGACACGAATACGGGCAACACGACACGAATGCCAGGTCTATTTAAAAGCAATATCAAATTTAGTTTTGTTCTAATATAATGTTTGCCCACATATTTCTTTATTTCTCTTCACTTAATAATTAATTTATTATAATATTCTGACCCACCTAATTTTATAGATAACCAAAAAGTATTTTAATTTGATATCTCAATTATAGTAGAACACTAGAAAGTTTTGCCTGCACGTTGTTGCGGGATTAGAAATTGTGTGAAAAATTACGTTTCAAAGGTATAAACATATCAACATATATCACATCTAATTAAATTATTGCAACAACATATTGACGCACTTAATATGGAAATTCATAAACTATTTGACAATACGAAACCAAGCAATCTCTAAACATGAGAAATGGATCTAGAAAGTATAAATCCTACCTCATATATATTAACACAATTAACAAATTCTCAGTGCATGATCACAAAAAAGTATAGAAAAGTAATTCAATTTCTAAATTTCAAAAAATGAAAAAGATAAAAAAATGGTCTAAGTTCTCACCATATCGAAAATTATGTATCGTTTTGACATGAGCTTGGGTTGATTTCGGTTACCACCATTAACAAAGCTAGTGACTTCAACCTGTGCAAGCAAAACGACTGAATTAGACGCAAGCCAACTTCGATTTAACCAAATCAATAAAGAAATCACGATCAAACTAACCTCTCTTCTTCCAACATGTAGAAGCTGTCTTTTGTTTTGCCTTTATGAACAATGCACTTTTCACTCTCTACACACAAAAAGAACGTACTCAAAATACTCAGCAACATTATAAAACTTAATAAATTATACGTATAAAACACTATATATGTATTTGGACATAAAGTATAAAAATTTACTAACAGAATCAAGCTTAAATTTAACAAAAGAAGTAATTATGAATTGAAATCAAATGATATTATAGTTGTTAAAAAAAATACCTGACCAATTTTTACAAATAGCATCATAAATTGTTAAAAAAATAACAGCATTGAAAAATCTAATTACTCAAATCTGTAATTCAATTAAAACACCTCACTGAAAACCCCAAGGAGAGAGGTGCATATTCCTAACCTTGCACAGTTAAAAATTGCATTTTGTTTGAGGAGGAGAAAAATGATCAAACTAATAAGTCAATACTTAAATAGGTTTACTCTGGTGTCCACTATTTTTTAATACACACATAATGCTGTATGTTTAAATCAACACTGATTCTTGCATACTTTTGGTTATATAATGTTTGGAGTTCAATGTATATATACCCAAATGGGAATTATTCTTTATCCAAAATTTAGAACAAACCAACTCATCCGAGAACGCAATGAAATTTAACTGCAACTCCAATATAATCAATGTAAATTATTATAGCGAAACAATGTGATCAAACTTCAACAAAACTCCAAATCCACCAAAAGTATAAATTTCTTACCTTGTGTACAGAGGGCTTCAGAAAACGACAGCGTTCTAGCCTGGAAATAAAACCCCCAAAATCAGAAAAATGAAATTTGCACAGAATTTACAGTTCTAAACACAAAATTACCCACCCCAAATCGGCTAAAGAACTTACCCTCTAAACTCAAAGAAAATCAACTCCAAACTTAATTAAATTCGTTTTCTTTTCCAAAACTTGTCTCAATCTGCAACATAATGACCAGCTTGTTACATAACTAAAGATCTAAATGATATAAGGTCTTAAAAATGGTTTATTTCGTAGGTCATTAATTAGTCATGACTCGTGCTTGTGCATAAGATGCCTCACTTGACTCAATAGGAACATATAGATGCTCATGTTTTTCTTGGTACAGATACTCATATTGTGCTTAATTAGCATCACACATCATGATATTAAAGTTCTAATCATGTTAGACCTATGCCATGTAGTTAAAAGCATAAATAAGATAAACAAAAACACGAAAAATAAGTTTTACGTTTATTATTTATACATGCACTCCTCTAAACTATTTCAGGCTACATCAATTTAGTCCTCTCATTCCTACAAACTGGATGACAATATATTCCCTCACGATAAGGAGAACTGTTATTACAGAACTCCTACAGTGGACTTTACATGCATGTATCATCACAAAAAGAAATGGATAAGAAAAATGAAAAAAAAAATAAATAAATAAATCCACCAAAACTTGAACAAAGTCAACCCCAAGGAACAACCAAATTCAACTTCAATATAAACTTAAACAAAATCAAACTCCAAGGTGCAACCAAATTCAACTCCAATATAATAAAACTTAAACAAAACTTTAAATTGCTTACCTTGAGTATACAGGGCTTGAGAAATCAAAGGCATTCAAGTTTGAAAACAAAACCCCCAAAATAAAAAAGGGAAATTTGCAAATCAAACTCATTTTGAAATTCAAATATATAGTTCTAAACACAGAATATTCAAATCACATAATTATCAACCCCAAATTGGCCGAAAAACTCACCAGGGAAAGCAGCTTTTTCTGGGCTTAAAATTTTCTTCTAATCGGGACCAAATTCAAGTTTTTTTTTTTTTTTTTTTTTTTTTTTTTTTTTTGATTTGAATTTCTGGTTTGTCTCCCAATCTCAAAAGTATTTCGAACCAACCAGAAAAAACCAATCGAGTGTACAAAAACTGAATAAAAAGCTTGAGTAAGGCAGTAGTACATAGTTAAGGAAACATGATTGCCATAAGAGATATTCAACAAAAGTAGTGTGATTGTAAACCTTACAGAAGTATCTCAACATGTAGCATCTGCATACCTTCGCTTTCTTCAAACTCCTTTCCTTAAATTCATTTTAATTTTCATCAAATTCACGAACCTATGCAAGCCAAACAATGTTGTTGGTGCTTTCTGAGTGAGAGAGAGAGAGAGAGAGGGTAATGTTTCTGAGAGAGAAGACGAAATGGAAGCAAAAGTGGAGTTTGTTTCGAAGCAGACCCAATTCAGCTAACCTTCACGATGATCGACAGGTGGACAATGGGGGTAAACACGTAATTTCACTGTGCTGAACACAAAAAACAACGGGCCATGGTGATCAAAAGAGGGGCATTTCGGTCAAATCACTGTTAATGAACAGTGATCATTAACTGAGTTTTAGTATATATAATTTTATAAAATGTTATTTTGCCATATCAGCTATAAAAATGAAATTTGACATTTCCATCTAAGATGGTTGTATAAGCCATTGTTCAATTAGTCACAAAGATAAATGCCAGCTGGCCAACAAATTAATAACAAAGATCCAATTTGCACATTGACCCCATTTGCTTCCACATTAAGGTAATCGTGATTAAGTCAATCACAGTACATAACAACCCGAAACGTAAAGGAAAATCCCCTCTTGTCCAACTGCGCTATACTTGTAACCAAACATAGGGCTAGGGCTAGGGTTCCTCCGTCGTTGTAGTTTTCTACCGGCCGAAAATTGAAGTACTCGAGCTCCGCTCTCAGTAGAATTTTGCATACGACCATGTCTCTCCCGCCCGTAGAGCGTGCGTACGTCACAGATGACTGCCTTCGTCAATGGAAGAATGGAAACCCTAGTTTCAAGCTCCCGGACCCTGTTCCGATGCTTCGATTTCTCTACGAGCTCTGTTCCACCATGGTAAGCTCAATGTGCCCGCCCACTTTTCGTGTCTTCAATTTTGGTACTTACTAGGGTTTTGGATTGAATGTTGTGTGCGCTCTGATTGCTAGGTATGTGGGGAACTGCCGCTTCACAAGTGTAAAGCGGCCTTGGATTCGGTTGAGTTCTCCGACGAGGTTTCGGACCAAGACTTGCCTTCCTGTTTTGTGGATATCATCACCCAATTGTCTCAAGATGTGAGTTCTTCGTAATTTGGTTTGCCAAGTGTGTGATTATTGTGCAAGATTGAGAAATAGATGAATTTGGGTTTAAATGTGTGATTATTTGACCCGTGCACGTTCGCTTCGTTTGCAGATTAGAATGCCTGGAGAGGATCGTGTTCGTCTAGTAAAATTGGTTAGTACTTTGGTCATTTGAAAAGTAGGAGTCTTGTACCATATTGGTGTTCATTGCCTTCTTGCTACTTCATTGCTCTAGTCATTAATAGTACTTTTTTATTGGTGTGTCTTCACTGTTTGTAATTGTTCAGTTGTTTTCTCTTTATCAGGCCAAATGGTTGGTGGAATCTTCCTTAGTTCCGTTGAGACTTTTCCAGGAGCGCTGTGAGGTGAGCACTCATCCTTTATACTAGTTTACGGATGGTTATCTGGTCATGGTTTTTTCTTCGTTGGGCTCGATCTCCGCTTTCTTTTACTTGTATGAAATAGAACTTATGCATATATGCTTTATAAATTGTAGGAAGAATTTTTGTGGGAGGCTGAAATGATCAAGATAAAGGCTCAGGAATTGAAGAGTAAAGAGGTAATGAGATCATTACCGTGTGGCTATATGCTTAGATGATGGGGGCCTTACCCATAATATGAGCAGATGTTATGTTGTAGTTCACCTTATAACAATGTGTCATACTCACACGAGCTTGTCCAAAAAGAATCTTGCTTTACCCTGGTAAACTTATAATTTCTTTTATCTGATGAAGGGCCGTGTTGATGCTCATTCTATTTACCTTGCACTGTTTTGTTTGTATATTTTCTTGTCAATTGATAATAATATGAACTTTTGGATGAATCAACCTGTGACACTAGTTGTTAAAGGTTGAACAAATAAAGCTCGGAATTGTGTGTAATGACTTGCATGATCCCTAAGTTCCTTACAAAGTATGGCATGCTAAGTTTACTATGAAAAGCATCTTATGTAACAAGTTTATTACCTAAATATCAATATGTTGATGCAGTAGTCTGGGAATACCATAAAATTTAATTTGCACTTGATTTCAATTTCAGGTCAGAGTAAATACCCGTCTTCTATATCAGCAAACAAAATTTAACCTTCTCCGAGAAGAGAGCGAGGGCTATGCCAAGCTGGTATGATTATTGTTGATGATCTTTTCGAAGTTGTTCAGTGTTCTACAATATTCTTTTCACAACAATCTTCCCTTACTGGTTTCGAGTGCTTGCTGGTTTTCTTTTGGGAAAAAAAAGATAATTGTCTTGTCAATTCTATCTTTTGTATTTGGATTTATTTACAAGTGCTGCTCCTCTCAAATGTGTTGTGTTTCTCCATTTTTGTTTACTTCCATTCCACGGAGAAGTCACAATTAAGTTGTATATTATTAGTATGATTTTAATGTTTGTGTTGTCCTCTCTTTAGGTGCACCTTGGTTGAAGTATGTGCTTTAATTTACCCAGATTTGAGAAATTAATTTACCCAGATTTGAGAAATTTAATCATGTATATTTCATTGTTTGTCCATTTGTAGGTTACTCTTCTTTGCCAAAACTCAGAAACTTCATCACACAATGCAGCAGCAACAATAGGAATTATAAAGGTGTAGATTTTAAGTCCTGTTTTCTCTACAATTTTTTTGCTTCTTTATATATACTTTTCAACTTTCTAATTAGATTGGTTTGTGCAGTCATTAATTGGGCATTTTGATCTGGACCCAAATCATGTTTTCGATATTGTAAGTTGTCGCTGTTTACCTTAGTTGTACTTTTTTCTTTCTATATAGCCTGTATTATTTTGGGAGACAATAGTTGGCTTCTGATGTATCAGGAGGAGTTTTGAGAATATCGCGTTTAAGAATGGGAAAAACAGAATGTACAAGGAAATCACGAAACAAAATAACCAAGATGAACAATCCCGAGAATTAACGTGGTTAGGCTATATGTGCCTCTGTCCACGGGGTGGGAACAACTATCTTTCACTATATCAATAATGAGTACAACCAATAATCTTGCCAAGTGTCTAGAATTAAGAACTTGACGATAAACCTGAAAGAACAAGAACAAGAAATACACTCTTTATCTCTTTTCTTTTCTCTCACACACACTTTGCCCTTACAATATTCTCTCACTCTAATCCCTTGAGTGGTATACAAAATATTGTTTTGCTCCGATTCAAAACTAGTACAATAGCTCCTTTATATAGACATAATAAAGGTCTTCTTAAATAAGGATTACTAATCCTAATTGGAATCTAGTTATGAATCTTTCTCCAATTGAGAAACTAACTCCAATTGGGAAAAACAATTTAATCCTCTAAGATTATAATTCCTGATAGCCTTGGTACAACTCATCATGGGCTGGAACAACCCAACAAGGAGTTCTTTGTTTTGTTTCAAATTTTATGTATTTATTTTAATTTTGGGCAAGTGTCCACTTCTAGATGAGGCACATCTCCATATAGAGGGGAGCTCCTCATGATGCATCAGTAGCAAGTACCTGTCCTTTTTTTGACAGAAGCAAGTACTGTCCTTTCTCTGATGCATTTAATAAGAATTTGGAGTTCTAATCTATATCACTATTTACCTTCCATACTTTTGTTATTAGGTTTTGGAGTGCTTTGAACTTCAACCAGATAGTGATGTCTTTTTGGAGCTGATACCAATTTTTCCAAAGGTAAGGATATTCTATTGACGCAGTTAAAGCTGTATTCTCTAGTTCAAAAATCTTTAATTGACGTTACATCTTTTGCAGTCTCATGCTTCACAAGTCCTTGGTTTCAAATTTCAATACTATCAGCGTTTGGAAGTAAATAGTCCAGTACCATTTGGACTTTATAAGCTAACAGCTTTGCTGGTGAAAGAGGACTTTATTGATCTTGATAGCATGTGAGTTTTCCTTTGTTTACTTTGGTATTTGATAGGAAAACCATATTGTTTGCTAAGTTTCCTTTATCTTGATTCAAGCATGGATAATGTTACCTCTTGGAACACATGAAACAGCAATGTCAGTACCAGTGTGAGACATAGACTTGGCACCCATGGCCTGTGTTCAGCTTTAGTAAGGACAAGTGCAGCCTAGTGTCCTTGATACCCCGAGGGAATCATGGACACTACAAGATTTATGGTTTTCGGTAGTGCGACACTACCACCATGGGCCATATGTCCAAATTGGTTTTAGCATGGATTCAGTTGTTCTCATAATTACATTTGTAAGCTGATAGGAATGGTTGGGAGCTAAATTGCTTTTGCAAAGCAGTAATTACTAATAGATTTCATATGCCCGCTGCCATCAATCACTATGTTTATGTAGCAGCCATATTTATCGGTATGTATAAACTCTTTGTTCCTTGTCATGGCCAATGGGCTCTTTCCTAGTACTTAAGTACAAAAGCTGGTAAGCTTAAGGATCGGCTTGTGTGCTATCAATGTTTTAAAAAACCCAGCCCAAAACGATGTCATTTTGGGGTTTGGGTAGGTTTTTTTTTTTTTTTTTTTCCTTTCTTTCAAAAGATAAAAAAAAGGCCTAGTGGAACACCTTAGGCGCCTATGTGCACCTTGACCACGTCTAGGCGAGTTTAAGCCTACTCCTGCTGGGCTGAGGCGTTTTCATCATCACCCGGCCTCCAAAGCCGCCTAGGCGTGCCTTAAGGTGCATTTTTTAAACAGTGTACTATACATAGAGTCCTCATGGTATGATGGCACCCAGTTGCGACACATCTTTCTTAGGGGTCCATGAGTCAATATTGAGGGTTGTGGTGCTTCTGCTGCATGTGCAGTTTGACCTAGACGCTAGACCTTAACAGTGATTGAACCTAAGGTTGTGTCAATTTTGGTATTGTGTTTATGAGTGCAAGGTTTATAATGGATATTTCTTAGTTGTAAATATGCATGGAGCTAGAGGAGGATTAAGATATGTTTGAACCACTTGGAGTGTAGAATTAGTTCATGTTTATGTCCACCTGTACATCTTTTAGCTTGATTGTGGTTGGTTAAGCTATATATATCTTAGAATCATTGTTATGTGTTCTACTGTGCTGTTGATTATCTGCTTTTCAGTTTCCATGATGGTCTGAATTAGAGTTCTAATTGTGCTGGGCTTGCTGGTTATTTATTTATTTATTTTTGAATTAAATTAAATTTATGTCGTTGACAGATATGCTCATCTACTTCCGAAGGACAATGAGGCATTTGAGCATTATAGTGCTTTCTCTTCCAAGCGACTTGATGAGGTAAAAATTTTTCTTTTTTGGTGAAAAATGAGATATAACTTATTAAATGTATGAAATATGGATGATTATCAGATCGGATATATATATATATATGTGTGTGTGTGTGTGTGTGTGTGTAATTGTGGAGTTTCTTGGAATGGTTATCAATGCATGAGGCCATAACTTATTTTGATTCTACATGTTATGTTTCAGCTATATGTTATGTGCTTTCTTTTCCCAACACAAAAGTTTAGGGCATTGATTGACTAGAGAATTGTGTATATTTTGTCCCGTGGATTCTACTTTTTTGTTGAGTGTTCATGTATTTTGTCATTTAGTTATGGTGATGGCTTTACTTGCTTATTTAACACACCTTCAAAATCCCTTTCCTTTTATGCAAAAGACTTGGCCTTTTTATTTTGACATGAACATCTGGTCATTTGCAGGCTAATAAAATTGGTAAAATAAATCTTGCTGCAACCGGGAAGGATCTGATGGATGATGAGAAACAAGGAGATGTGACAATAGATTTTTTTGCCGCTTTAGACATGGAAACAGGTGCAGTTTGTGAGCGGTCTGCAGAGTGTGAAAATAATCAAACTTTGGGCTTGCTTACTGGTTTTCTTTCCGTAGATGACTGGTATGCTTGTTTGTACTTGGAACTTCTAGCTCCCAGCTGTTCCCCCTAAATGATTCCTGAATTTATACTTATTTTCTCTTTTCTTGTTTACATTGATTATTATAATGTAAGCTGCTGGCTTAAGTTGCCCCTTTCTTGAGCCTATTAGTTGTCTGTTTTGCGGTTGTATCCTACTTTGAAGGGTACTTTTCCAATTGTTGTGTCATTTGTTTAATGAAATCGTTTATGCAATAGAGGTTCTTGTGTTTCCTTGTTGATGATTCTTTTTAATTTTCTCATGTGAAAATTTTGTGAAGGTATGGTTTACATGTTTTCAACAGTATTGGTGATCATTGGACCCTGTTGTATACTGTATAGTACTCAATACATTTTGTGAACCAACATGCTTTCAGTTGAGTGGAAGTTCACAACATTAGGGCTTGGAAATTATGTGAAAAGCTAAAATGGTGTGTACTTATTGTTCTGCATAAACATTGAGAACTTCTAACCAGCCCTTTGTTGGCTGTCTGCATAAAAGATTGGTATTTGATTTTTGTTTTGAATGCATATAATACACACAAAGGTGGATGTCTTAAAGTCTTCCAAAAATATTATGTATCCAGCTTGTTGAAGTTTATAACTGATTTCACCTTTGTACACTAGGTTTAGTAGCTTTTATTTTGTATTCATTTTAAAGTATCTCATTTGTTACTTTACTTTCTCTCATCAGGTACCATGCACATCTACTATTTGAGCGGCTCTCACCTCTCCATCCTGTTGAACATATTCAAATCTGCGACAGCTTGTTTAGGTAAATTTTAATGTATTTTCTTTCACTCTACGTTCGTTTTATGCTATGAGCTAATTGTGTATCTGTTTATTTGGTCGGATGTGCTCTCATAAAGATGTATGCACAAAAAACACACAAGTGCACATAGGTGGCTGATTGTGCATAATTTCTTTGAGCGCACTTGAAAAGTTAATTAACTTGGCTTTCTGTAGCCTTCTTCTGTTGTGCATGGTCATTCTTAGCTTTGGCTGTTCATCTACTTTTGTTTTTTTTTTTTTTATAATAATTATTTGATTCTTGAGTCCAGGCTCATTGAAAAATCAATCTCTTCTGCTTATGACACTGTTCGTCGAGCACATCTTCCAATATTTGGGGCTTCCTCAGGAACTAGTATTGATGTGATGAATACAGAAAATGCATCAATCCATGGATCATTTATAGAACTTCCAAAAGAACTTTTTCAGATGCTTGCTTGTGCTGGACCATATCTTTATCGTAATACTTTGTTGCTGCAGAAGGTGCAATTATCTATTTCTAATGTTCTTGATTTGTCTATTTGAGTTATATCTCCTAATGACCTAAGAGTTGACTATGTGTCTGTTGGTCTTTGTCACTGTCTCTCTTTTGGAGTAGGTATGTAGAGTATTGAGAGGTTATTACTCGTCTGCGCTTCAGCTTGTAAACAGTGGTGAAGGACTCATAGATCCCAATCATGTTTTTGGAGGTAATCCTCGTCTGCATCTTAAGGAAGCAAGGTCAAGGATAGAGGAAGCTTTGGGAACATGTCTACTTCCTTCTTTACAATTGGTACCTGCAAATCCAGCTGTTGGACAGGAGATCTGGGAAGTGATGAATCTACTTCCCTATGAGGTTTGCCTTACATCAGTCATTTGATACTTCAGTTGAGAATTTATTTTGTGGTAGACACTCTTGCTAAATGAATTTTGTCTTCTTAGGCGCGGTATCGTTTATATGGTGAGTGGGAGAAAGAAGATGAGCAGATTCCTATGGTTTTAGCTGCAAGACAAACAGCCAAGGTACATCATATATATTCGTCTTGAATCTCCTGTGCTTTCTGAATATGCTTGCATTTACTCTTGTATTATATCGTATGTTGCAACTTGCAAGTTTGATTCCCTAAAAGTATCATTGGTATGCCTTTTTCTTTTTCTTTTTGTAGTTGGACACAAGAAGAATTTTGAAACGGCTTGCAAAAGAAAATTTGAAGCAGCTGGGTCGGATGGTTGCAAAATTAGCTCACGCAAATCCAATGACTGTACTAAGAACAATTGTTCATCAGGTCTTATCTTATTGATGAATATACCGTCACCTATTTTTTTGGAATCTTCAATTTCATTTTTGTTGGCATTTGAATTTTTTGTGCACGGAGGTGTTATTAATCTCTTGATATTTTCTGGGCGGAAAGGAATATGAGGGTGTTGAGAATGTGTTAGGAGTGTTTATGGTGTTTTTGGGCTTGTTTGTGGGCATCTGAAGCTTTTGATTTAGGGAGTTAACTTTCTCTGTATTTTGTCAGATTATTTTGTAGCTATTTGGATATTCTGTTTCTATCTTGGTGAATTTCTCATATCATGTTGTTGCTTAGGTTTCTTGTTTTGTTTTCTGCCAGAAGTGGAATCCTTGTTGGCTAATTTGTACTGATCTACTTTTATTTTTAATGAATAATTCTGTTAATTTTAAAGGCATTTATTAATATCTTGGCACAACCTGCAGATTGAGGCGTACAGAGATATGATTGCTCCTGTTGTAGATGCATTTAAGTATTTGACTCAGGTGTGAATTTCTCTTTTATTGTGTTAGTATTTTTTTTTTTTCCTTCACTCCTATTACTGTTTAGACTGTTAATAATATCTAGCTAGATATCAGCCCTCTGTTTTTTGACCCTTCTGTTATCTTACCCATAATAATTATCCTGATGATTCCTCTGATTATTAGGCCAGTCCTGTGGTTTGTACTTGTAGGACAATTTTGTGTGAAATTTTGTCTATTGAGCACATTGATGCATGCAACACGTGTTTCCATGCATGCCATTCTGTACCCAACTCTTGTGCATTCTTTATGAAAAGAACCTATAGTTGATTGCTATTGTCAAACATTATTTGACACTACTTGATATTCTCCTTAGTGACATCGAAACAAATTTGACACTTCTTCATATGCCTTTTACCTTAATAATTATGTATGACTATTTCTTGGCCAGTCATCCACTTAGTGATCTCTAATCTAGCTCTTCATGGAAATTTTCTGGTCCTTGGAAACACCATATAGGTGTAAATATTGTAATTGTCATCATAATTACCTTTTGGATTCTAAGAGATCTATTAATGGAATTTTAGAACGGGTCATACTATGTCATACCTGAGTTTTTGAACTAGTCATGCTGACATTGGTGCATGATTATTACCAGTACGGTACTTATCCTGAAAGATTTCAATTGTGATTTTTTGTTTGTTTGTCATTTCTCAGAAGGATGCCTCAATTATATGAATTTATAGTAGTCATAGCCAATAATTTAAACCTATAATCTTTAGAGTCTTGACTTAGATTCCTTGGAGGCTACAATAATTTTGATTTTTCCGACATATGGCCTTAAGTATCATTGGAATAGTATTCCTCAAATTCATTTTCATCTTTAGGGCATTGCAGGGCACTTCAGAAGCATACTTCTTGATATGTACTTTGTGGTTGGCTCAGTTTTTAACTTTTTCAGCATGATATTTAATTGCATTTCTTGAAACATCATACTCTAGCTTGAGGCATCTTTTTGCTGAATAGCCATCATTCTATCTGGTTTATGACGTTCCTTGTCCACTTATTGCATTTGGCTTTCTTGTTTGGGTGTATATATAAGCGTTCCATATTTTAAACCTGTGATTTCTTTCTAATTCTTTCTTATATGCATGTTTTTCTGTACAGCTGGAGTATGACGTTTTGGAATATGTTGTCATTGAGCGTCTGGCTCAAGGAGGTCGTGACAAGCTAAAAGATGATGGACTTAATTTGTCAGACTGGCTTCAATCTTTGGCTTCATTTTGGGGTCACTTGTATGTCTTTTTTTCTTATTGTTTCTGTCTTTTTAAATACGTTTGTTTTGAAATACTATATTCTCTTACGCTACTTAGTAGGTTAAATGTGTTGGCCTATTTTTTGGGTTTTGTGCAATTTGATTATTCTTGAGCTCTGTTTGTTTATTATCGATCTACATCACTTTCTTTTCCCTCTTACCTTTTTCTAGCATTGATTATTTGATGGCATTTATGCTTGTTTTCACCGCCATACAGTCTAGATATATTCTTGGATACTTCCCTTCAGTTTCCTCGTTGCAGATTATCATGGTGTTGGGGAATTTATTGAAGAATAAGAAAGATTTGTTGGAGGGGGGGGCGCAAAGAACTCTAGGAAGCCTAATTCAAAGACTATTTTCTGTTGAGATTTAAAGATTCAAACATTTATAGGTTTGTGGTCTGTTTTATTTCCAACATAGTTGGGACTTTGGTTTCGGGAGAATTCTGAATAAGGCAGAGGTGAAGGAACTGTCTGCATTGTGTAGAAAGTGTGCACCTTTCTCAAAGTACACCAAATTCTAGGAAATGGATGTTAGACGCTTAGGATCGTACAAGTGTTTTTTCAGATTTCCTTTTGACAAGCCTGTTCCATCTTGTCAGATACCGGTCTTCATCCCTTTCATTTTCCTCTTACCTTTTTCTAGCATTGAACGTTTGATGGCATTTATGCCTGTTTTCACTGCTATACAGAGTCTAGATATATTGTTGGATACTTCCCTTCAGTTTCCTCATTGCGGATTATCCTGGTGTTGGGAATTTATTGAAAAGAAGAAAGATTTGCTAGAAATTGGCTTTTGGGATTCCATTTGGAGGAGGAAGCTTTATCGCGTTCTGTGGTCAGAAGCAAATATGGGATAGGCCTCAACGGTTGGGATAACCAAGCTGGTGGAAAAGGTTAAAGGTGGAATCCATGGAAAGATGCTTCTCATTACTCCAACCTTTTCTATTGTGCTGGAATTATTTGTTGCTTGTGGGTGTGCCAGGGTAAGATTCTGAAAGGATCGTTGGGTGGGGAAAGAACTCTAGGAATAATTCAAAGACTATTTGCAGCTGAGATGTAGAGATTCGAACATTTCCAGGCTTGTGGTTTGTTTTATTTCCCACATAGTTGGGACTTTGGCTTCGGGAGAATTCTGAATAAGGCAGAGTTGGAGGAACTGTCTGCATACTGTTGTTGTGTAAAAAGTGCGCACCTTTCTCACGGTAGGCCAAGTTCTAGGAAATGTATGTTAGATGCTCAGGATCATTCAAGTGTTTTGTCAGATTTCTTTTTGACAAGCAAAAAGTTACTTCTTTTCAACCTTTAGGGCAGACTTGGAAACAATCAAAAGTGAAACATTTTTCGTGTGGCTTGTGGCACGTTGGTAAAGTCAATACTTGCAATATGGTTCAAAGGAGGAGACCTTTATTCCTAACTCTACTGTTTGAAAAGCACAAGGTGGCTGGGAGGGTAAAAAAGCTAAAGTGGTCGGGGTATGTATAGTTTAGAATGTCATAAGGAGTCGGATTGAGGTGCGCTGGGAAAAAGAGAAAAGTTTTGGTCTTGTCTTTTGGGCTCAGTTTCGGTGGAATTCAAGAATTCTATCTACTTATATTGGAAAGCATCTGTGCATTGATGGATGGTTACAGTTGATTTTTCTTGTGGTCTATGGTTTACTTGTAATTGTCTCACCTTGTACCTTTAGTTTGATGATTGTTCTTGTGAAAGTTGAGATTTTAGTTTTAGTTTTTATATCCGTTGCTGTGGATTTCTTGTTTGCAGATTGTAATTTCCATTTCATTAATAAAATTTGGTATCTTCGAAAAGAAAAAGGCCGTATCAGTGGATCTGGGAATATGTGGAAACTGAAAGGGGGAATTCCGATTAGAGTGTCTAAATAGACAATATATTTGCTAAATTAGCTTTTACCCCTTCATGTTGTATGGAGATATAATTTCTAGCCACTGGTCTAAAGACTTAAAATTCTCTTCACATAGTTTACTGTAACAATATTTTTATTTTACATTTTGTTTATGGGATTCTTAAGGAATATTTTTGGGTTCAATTTATGGATCAATTCATCAAGTTTTCTTAACCCTTTGATATGTACTTCTTTGTTTATTTTCTTGATTTATGCTGTGTCCTTTCTGTTTTTTTCCACTTTTTAGTTTCTTCTCAACTCATATAAAATTTATTGATATAGGTGATGAATGTGTAGTTATAACATAGTTCCTATTTCTTTTTCCCTTCAAGATGGTTGTTATTATATTTTTTTATTTCTTCTTGTTTTTTCATTTTGGAATTAAGTTAAATATGTCATTTAACTTTTAAGAAAGCTGACTAACTCAGTTTTTTGTTTTATTTAGGTGTAAGAAATACCCATCTATGGAATTGAGGGGGCTTTTCCAGTATCTTGTGAACCAACTAAAAAAGGGCCAAGGAATTGAACTGGTTCTCCTCGAGGTATTTACCAGGTTCAGTGGTTATAGTGTTATACCAGCAATTTCGTATGATTATTCCTTATGCTTTCCTGCTGACGAAGTGAATTTCGCGGATGATATATATCAGGAGCTTATTCAGCAAATGGCAAATGTCCATTACACTGAGAATCTGACTGATGATCAACTGGATGCCATGGCAGGCAGTGAGACGCTGCGTTATCAGGCAACTTCTTTCGGTGTTACTCGTAATAACAAGGTGCCTTGTAATGTTTGATTGTATTAGATGTGATGTTAAACCAGTAATGCATGTTATGATGTTTGAGATGACCTGTAATGCATGGTATGATGTTTGAGTTGCCTAAATTTGAAGATGTTAATGTTCATTTTAATATTGATAACAGGCACTAATCAAGTCCACCAACAGGCTAAGAGACTCACTGCTACCAAAGGATGAATCCAAGTTGGCAATCCCCCTTCTAATACTTCTTGCTCAGCATCGTTCTGTGTAAGGCTGAAGAGCTTATTTGCTTGCTTCTTTTTTTTTTTTTCCTGCATTATAATACTAAATGACAATCTTTTCAAGAAGCATTAGTTTTTCTTGATACCAAATATTATTGGTGGTAAGGTATCTTGAAGTTGATTCTGGGTTGGTCATTGTGCAGTTAGACCAATGGCTCTAACATCTTGATAAAACACCTCTCATTTGGGTTTGGCATGACAGTTCTAATTTTGTGCATGCGCCATATGAACACTTTTTTATTTAACGCATGGTAAGTTAGATACCTGACAGTTTATTTATTTATTTATATTAACTGCAGGGTCATAATAGAGGCAAATGCACCGTACATCAAGATGGTTAGTGAACAGTTTGATAGATGTCATGGAACCCTCCTTCAATTTGTGGAATTTCTTTGCAGTGCTGTGACACCGGCATCGGCTTATGCTCAGCTAATTCCTTCGCTTGATGATCTTGTTCACAAATACCATCTTGATCCAGAGGTCGGTCTGACTGTCTGTCTGTCTGTCTCTCTCTCTCTCTCTCGATTTATGTTCTTTGATCTGTATATAATCAGAGTGCTTGGTTTGTAAATTTCATAATCGTAATCTTTGAATCTATTTACAATTAAGTGTTGATTTTTTAATTACAGTTTCTACAATAGCATAAATCTTTTACCTATACATGGTTTTCACTATTTTCTCCATGACATAGGTTGCTTTCTTAATTTATCGCCCTGTAATGAGGCTCTTCAAGTGCCAAGGGAGTTCTGATGTCTTCTGGCCTCTAGACAATATTGACACTCAAAGTATCACGTCTGCAAGTTCAGAGTCTGAAGCTACAGAGCATTCTGGAAATGTGGTTCTGGATCTTGGGTCTCCATGGAAGCCTATAACGTAAACTTTTTAGTGTGCTTTCTGTTGTTTTATTTATTGCATTTGCACTCATCTTGACGTAAAAGATTATTGTCATCTAGTTATTTTTGCAGACAGGAGGAATTCCCTTGTTTTTCCTAACTGATTTGTGTTTCTATGCTATATTTATATAATTGCAAGCAGGTGGTCGGATCTTCTTAGTACTGCTGAAAGGATGCTGCCTTCAAAATCCTGGAATAGCCTGTCACCTGATCTCTATACTACATTTTGGGGGCTCACGCTCTATGATCTTTATGTCCCTAGAAATTGTTATGAGGCTGAAATTGCAAAGCAGCATGCTGCTCTTAAAGCTCTGGAAGAGATTTCTGATAATTCAAGTTCAGCAATAACCAAACGGAAGAAAGAAAAAGAAAGAATTCAAGAATCCCTAGATCGCCTGACTAGCGAACTCCGTAAGCATGAAGAAAACGTCGCATCTGTTCGTAAACGCTTATCTCGGGAGAAGGACAAATGGTTGAGTTCTTGCCCTGATACTTTGAAGATCAACATGGAGTTCCTTCAGCGTTGTATATTTCCACGCTGTACTTTCAGTATGCCAGATGCTGTGTATTGTGCCATGTTTGTGCACACTCTTCATTCCCTTGGGACACCATTTTTTAACACAGTCAACCACATTGATGTTCTCATCTGTAAAACCTTGCAGCCTATGATATGCTGCTGTACTGAATATGAAGTAGGTAGACTTGGGAAGTTTCTCTGTGAGACGTTGAGGATTGCTTACTATTGGAAGGTGATAGACAATTTTATGTTTTTGTTCTTTGTATTTTGATTTGGTGACACTGATCATACAATTCATGAACATATAAGAGGGTGTACTCAGGCACCAGAAACTGCCATATTCTTTCTCCAATTTATTTTTTGTCTTGCTGATCCTGGTTTTGTCTTCCAGAGCGACGAATCTATTTATGAACGCGAATGTGGAAACATGCCAGGCTTTGCTGTATATTATAGATATCCAAATAGCCAGAGAGTTACTTATGGCCAGTTCATCAAGGTGAGTCCAGGTCTTTTTTATGTCTAAAATTTACTTGGGCTATATTTCCCCAAATAGAAAAAAGGTAAAAAAAAAAAAATTCCCTATGCCACAAAAGTCACTAAGCAGAGAATGATTACTTTTGGTCTTAAAGTGGAGATTCTGAGTTTCCTTTAAAGGTTTTTGCTAACTCTTGTCCTTCCAAGTAGTTCCTGTTCATTTTTTGATTGTGCATAATGTCTGTTTTATCCATATATACTCTGAGATTCTAGTTTGAACTTGAACCTTTCTAAAAGTCAAGTTCAAGTTCGTAATTTATCTTGTACCTTAAAGTATTCTATGGTTGCATTTTTTTCTGATGTCCTTGTTTTTCAATTTTGTTATAGGTTCACTGGAAATGGAGTCAAAGGATTACAAAGTTATTGATTCAATGTCTGGAATCAACCGAGTACATGGAAATTCGAAATGCACTCATAATGTTGACAAAAATATCTAGTGTTTTTCCAGTTACTCGAAAAACTGGGATTAATCTTGAAAAACGGGTAAGAGATTTCAAATAGTCATTTGATTTGGTTTTTGTTGCAGTGGCATCATTGTGTCTCTAATTTTTGCCACCTTCCTTGCAGGTTTCCAAGATAAAGGGTGACGAGAGAGAGGACCTCAAGGTGCTGGCAACAGGTGTCTGTGCCTCTCTTGCTGCTAAAAAGGTTTGTGTGAATTTTTGGAGGCATGGTTTTCAGGTTATATATTAACGAATCTTAATAATTTTATGTTTCCCATTTGCAGCCTTCATGGGTTTCAGATGAGGAATTTGGTAACGGACATCTTGATTTAAAGAATGGACAAAATGGGTCAAAGTCTTCTGCTGGTAATTCAATAGCTGCACAGGGTGAACCTATGGGAGGAAGAGTTGGAGCTGTACCCTCCCAACACTCGGATTCAACGAACTCAGGCAAAGACCCGACTCTAAAAAGAAAACTTGTAGATGGGAGGTTGGAAAGAGGTGAAAGTAGCCCAACTGCAAAATCTGATCAAGGGCATGTAAAACTTAAAGCTAGCTCATCGGTGAATGGGTCAGATGCGAAGCCATCAATAACCTCAGCTGCTTTCCAACCTGCAACGGCAAGATCTATTGAAAATAAAAAACAAGTGAATGAATTCTCGAATAAAGCCTCAGATGAAAACATGGGAAAAGCTGCACCAAAGAACTCTACAGAATCTGAGGTATTATGTTGGCCCATAAAAAAAAATTCTTTCTTTAACTATTGTATGATTGGGGATATTGGTCACATTCATGCTGTAGTCTAATCAGCATTGTGATGACCAGTTTTAGGTCAGTGCAAGATGAATGTTTGTCTAGTGGAAGAAATTAAGGGTTGTGGTGGCAAAATGCATTTTGCACCGTGGATGGGTAGGAGACAGGAATTTAAAATTTATTATATTTCATTTCCTTCGTTTAGTGCTCCTTGCCATCATTTGCATCATGTTTGCTAAATCAATCAAAGATATTAATGTAGTAAATATGTGGGAATTTTTCATATTGGTAAGGGAGATGAACGCGAAAGGATAGGATTAGGAATGGGGATATCCAAGGTAAAGTAGGAATAGCCGAAATTGAAGATAAGATGAGAGAAAATTGGCTAAGTTGGTTTGGATATGTGAAATGAAGACCTACAGACACTCTGGTTAGAATATGGCAATTACGAGACAGAGGCTCAAGGTCACAGGGGTAGAGGAAGACCTAGGAAGACTTAGGAAAGAGAGACTAGAAAAGACTTGGAGTACTTGGATCAAACGGAAGACTTGGCACAAAACCGAGTGCAGTTACGTTCTAGGATTCATACAGCCGACCCTACTAAATGGAATAAGGCTTTGTTGTTGTTGTTGGCAAGGGAAATGAACGACATTTAAGGAACTTGCTAGACACTCATGTCTGAAATCACCCCACGCAAGTTTGTGGGGATGTGGTGAAGCTGATACTTCTGCACTACTTCAGGGTTAAATTTAGATGCAACCAGCAAAGTTCATATGTTTGAACCATATAATATATCTGAGGAGGGCTAGTGCTATAGTGAAAATCTAGCACCCTTGTGGCCCTTCTCACCCTGGTTCTAGGTTCCCCTTCCCCTTTCCCCTTACCCCCTAACTATTGACAAAAAAAAAAATGATCTGTGGTCTGCTTGTATATAGATTATTGGAACATCTGCAATCAAGCTGTATCCTTTCACTTGCTTGAGTTTGTAATGAATGTTGACCCATGTGGTACTGAAGATTTTATTTCCAAGCCTGGTGTGCATATTGTTGAGTCGTAAAACTTTCCTACTTCCTGCACCCTGGTGTTCACGGATTTGGTATGTAGATTTCATGGCCAAATGATAAGAGCTAAATGCATAATTTTATTTATTAGTCATGAGTGTTATACCTTGATTGAATCATTTTCTCTACTTCTCCCTCTTTGAGCTTTAGGTTATATTTCCAGCAATTATTTCACTGATATTTTTCTTATTATCTCACTGTTCTTTTTTTTTTTTCCTTAAATTTTATTTTCTTTTGTTGACAGTTGAGAGCTCAAGCAAAACGGTCAGTTCCTACTGGATCACTTACTAAGCCGCTGAAACAAGATGTTGCAAAAGATGATAGTAGATCTGGAAAAGCAATTGGCAGAACTTCTAGTATGAGTGACAGAGATATTCCGTCCCATGCATCAGCTGGGACTTCAAATGTTTCCTCTTCCGCCACAGTAAATGGTAACACAGATTCAGCGTCAGCTAAAGGTTCAGCTTCATTTGCGAGGACTGACATTCATGGTACTGAATCAAAGGTGGAGGTTACAGCTGCAAAATCTTCGAATACAAGGATTTCTGCTCCGAAGGAAGATGGTGGTGAAAATTCTGATGCACCAAGGCCCCATTCTTCTCGACTTGTCCACTCTCCTAGGCATGATAATTCTGCTGCTGCTGCAAAATCTAGTGATAAGCTGCAAAAGAGAACCAGTCCTGAAGAAACTGACAGACAGAGCAAACGGCGGAAAGGGACAACTGAAGTGAGAGATTTTGAGGGCGAAGCTCGAGTGTCAGACCGAGAGAGGTCTGTTGATGCTCGACTGTTGGATCCTGAAAATTCAGGTACTGATCATCAAAGTGTTCACAAGGCCACTGATAAGCCTTCTGACCGGTCCAAAGATAAGGGCAATGAAAGACATGAAAAGGATTATAGGGAAAGATTGGAGCGTCCTGAAAAGTCGCGTGGAGATGATTTGAATGAGAGATCCAGGGACAGGTCAATGGAGAGACATGGAAGGGAGCGTTCAGTAGAGAAACTTCAGGAGAGGGGTATGGATAGGAATTTGGATAGACTTCCTGACAAATCTAAGGATGACAGAGGTAAAGTAAGGTACAATGATGTATCAGCGGAAAAATCTCATGTTGATGATCGATATCATGGACAAAGCTTACCTCCGCCACCACCCTTACCTCCTCACATGCTTCCACATTCTGTTAGTTCTGCTAAAAGAGATGAAGATGAAGATAGAAGGTTTGGAACTACAAGGCATACTCAGAGGCTTTCCCCGAGGCATGATGAGAAGGACCGTAGACGATCTGAAGATAATTCCTTAATTTCTCAAGATGATTCAAAACGTAGAAGAGAAGATGATTTTCGAGAAAGAAAGCGCGAAGATCGTGAGGGGCTGTCAATAAAGGTATGCCCCGATATGCTAGTTGTTTTTAGTTTCATTTGAGGCACTTCTTACAATATATCAGAATAAGTGGTTCCATATTCAGTCATTATTGACTCTTTCCGTTCTGATTATAACACCATATGTTAAATTGATGCCTAAAATAAGTGTAATTAGTAATATCTCGATGTAATTGTCGAGACATGTGCTTTTGTCCCCTATATTTATCATAGTTGGTCAAAAGGCCTTGTTTTTCGCAATCACAGTTCACTTTCCTTGTGTTATACCACATTTACCATTATGTGCGACTATCAGTTTTAGTAGCTTCACTATCACGCCAAGTGCTATGTAATTTTTAGTACTTTACATGCCTCTACTCTTCAAGTATAGATTTTAGGGCCACATAAGCATGCGTTTGTTCATTGAGAACTTGCTGTTTTTTTAGTTTGTCAATTTAATAGGTCCATTATCAGTTATTAGTTAGGCATTTTTTTGGCATTCCATGTCCGCTCCTAATTTCTCAACATCTCAAGTTTTTCATGATTCAATACTTAGAACAGTTGAGTGTACCTGAGGCACGCAGTTGGTTCAAACTACAAATGGAATTCTCATTAGTTTCATTGTACATGAGGTGTGATTTTTTATGTTTATGCTTTACTCTTTTCTGTATAGGTAGAGGAGCGGGAACGGGAGAGGGAGAGAGAGAGGGAGAAAGCAACCCTCTTGAAGGAGGATACAGATGCAACTGCGGCTTCTAAGAGGCGGAAACTTAAAAGAGAGCATCTGCCTTCCGGGGAAGCAGGTGAGTATTCACCAGTTCCCCCTCCACCTCCTCTTTCAATTAGTTTGTCCCAGTCATACGATGGAAGGGATAGGGGAGACCGAAAAGGACCCATTGTCCAGCGGTCAGGTTACTTGGAGGAACCAAGTCCGAGGATTCATGGTAAAGAAGTACCCAGCAAAATGGCTCGTCGTGACACTGACCCGTATCCTTAATGTCAATGTTTCATGTCATTCTGCATATAATAGATAATTGCTAAATGCTGAGAACATACATTCACGAATACATGTATCATCGTGACACTGATTTATGATTATCAAGATATGCATATATTTTTCGCCATTCTGTTTTGAGTTATGCAATCGTGTATCGGATAGTAGAACACCTTAACTATGTCCCAGGATGTATGAATGGGAGGATGAGAAAAGGCAAAGAGCTGAACAAAAGCGAAGGCATCGGAAGTGATGTGCGTAGAGTTTCGGTCACTTGTGGTACATCCACCTCCTTTTAATGTGGTGAGTTTCGTTCTTTTGGTTTGTGACAGATCGGTTGGTAGTAGAGGCAAAGGCACGGGAAGTGATGTGCTGAAACTCTTTGGTTTGTTACAGATCTGTTGTGGTAATTTCTTTCATGGCAAACGGCCTTTCGTCCTAACGTCACTATTGGGTAGTGATAACTTCATTCTTGTCATGATGTACAATATTGTAAATTCCGCAATTGTACAGAGTTGAAGTAAAATTATCTGTACCTTGGAACTTTGAAAGGAAAATCGGGAAGCCCCGAGTTCTGTCGATAAACGTTCCATTTTTTCCGTCGATAAATGTTGCATTTTTAGATTTCGTTTTTCATATCTTGTTAACGGCAATGGGCCCTGTAGATCAGTCGGTGGCTACTCATAATTTGGAGACTTTTTTGGTCATCTTGAAGAAATGTTAATATTACTGAACGCGAATCCACCAAATCTACAATGTGGTGTGTCGAACAAAAACGAACCTGAACATGATAGGGTTCGAAGATACAACTTGATATAAACGAAAATGATTTGATAATCCTTTTGCCAAATGTGTGATTTTGATGCCTCTATCTTTGTTTTATCAACACGAAACGCCATGTGTAGAGTCTTGTTCTAATGAAATAAAAAATGTGAGTGTTTTTATCCACGTATCTTTGTTTTATTGATACGAAACGCTATGTGTCGGTATATTTGTGTCATGAAAGTTGTTCAAAAACAGTATACTAGGTACCCAGTTTTACTGGGTGAAGGCAAAAGGAGATGCTCTTGCTACGTCTAAGGCTTTATATAAAAAAATATTTGTTTGGGAGAAATAGGGTTGTGTCATCTCGAGCAATAGTGTAATAGAAGTAACGATAACTGTAGTGAAAATTACCGTACGGAATTTAAATATCGATTATGTGAAAATACAAAAAAAGTACTCAAGTTTAAATATAATTTTGTATGTTTTTATAGTTTTTTTCACTTTGTTTAAATACATGTATTAATCTGGGATTAATATTATAGAAAGAAATCATAAAATAAAATAAAAACAATGTTAACCTACTTATACAAAACCCCGAAAACTATAAGCACCATCACCGTTGCCAAAGCACTCGTGGTGCCGCCACCGCTCCTCCGGTTGAACTGTCGTTGTTGTCTGCCATGTTGGTGCAACTCAATCCCAAATCAATGTTTCACAGATATGTTCCAAAAACTTCAGCATGAGAACCAACCATTCTAGCCATTGCTGGCGTTCTGAACAACATGCATTCTATATATATATATATATATATGCGTCAGGATTAACTGTACTACGACTGAATTCAATAAAATCTCAAATTCTATACATGCCAACGTAATAGTTTTTTTCTTTTCTGAATTTTAATTAGAACTTGAATACATACTTGTGAATTTTTTTTTTAAGCAATAGAGAAGGATTAGGCGAGATTAGCTCTTCGGCAATGATCGCGTGTGAGGCACCTACCCTCCCCTGAAAGGGTGAGGACCATTACACCCAGAAACCCCCCGCCCGTCCCCTCTCCACCTTATATCATTAAAATTAATAAAATAACTAGATACAAGCGGGTGGACGAAGCCAAGACCCGCTAAGAAAAGTCATCAACAGAAAACAGTGCGTGCATGCATGTGATTTTAGTACTCCTTGAAGATTTTGAGCAACTGATCAAAGGTGTCGGTCGTACATGCAATCTCCAGTGGCCCGCTAATCTTCGCATCGAACACATCCGGTTGTGACTTCTTGATGAGTTGTTGGATAATTGGGTCCGAGAGATACTTCAGAGGAACTTGATATTTCTTTCGTTCTTCTCCCACGGACAAGGGTACATAACCTTTCTTGGGCTTCTCGGACTTGCTTAAAGCTATATAGCTTTTGTTGGAGCACCGGAACTTGCTCAACTTCTTGATGAACATCGTCGTCTTTTCTTGAAGAAGATTTGAATGAATCATTGTAGGTCAGTATGTGCTTTCGAATTCTCCTGGACTAGATGAAGAAAAAAGAACTAGGGTTTTCTGAAAGCTAGTTGAATTCTACTCGACTAGATCAAGAAAAAAGAACTAGGGTTTTCTGAAAGCTAGTTGGATGTGAAGATATAGAGAATTTGAAAGAGAAGAAACTGGAAGGTAAGAATTTATGAGAGTTAGAAAGTCTAGTAGTATGTATATATATAATTAGTAAAAGCGGCAAGCTAGGGTTTCCAAATACTAGTAGGCAAGGTAGGGTTGTACATTTTTGTCTCGCTTAATTATCTTTCTTGCGAACCAAGTATCATTCTCCTAAAGCAAGTAGGAAACCCAAATCCACATTTTACATAAAACCCTAACCCTAGTTCTTAGTCGGCAAGACTCCAAATCCTAAACCAATTAGGAAACCCCTTGATTGCTATTTATACCCACTGAACATCCTAGCTTGTTTAGACTTTTGCTTCCAATTTCAAAACTTAGAAACCCTATCACATATACCACATAACATGGACACTGTGGAGGGCCAAAGTGATGAGTTCTGGGATGTGGTGGTCGATACCACCTACTGCGAAACACGACTACTCGACGTTTTGAAGTTACCAAAATCGGAGAAATATTCCAAGTTGTGGCTTGATATCAAGGCCACCGTTACAGTAATGGTGCTGCCTAGGGATTTAGAGGATGAGGAGGAGTTGGAGGACCACTACAAAGTAATGTTACTAGAAGATGATCAAATGGGACAAACCACCGACGTCGTCGAGTACGAGGAAAAACTTGAGATTGACCTTTTGATGGGGGACAATGCCACAAAAAGGACTTTGGATACCATAACTCAGGAGCTATCCAAACTGATCCATGTCCGTTCTGGGAATCTTTTATCTGCCGCGGCTACTATATTACGGGATGCGCGTGCTGTTGCAAGAGATAGGAGTTTTGTTGTTATCAATGGTGCTGATCAAGGTCGCACCAACCCTGTACTTGTGCACATGGAGGCATCCATCAGCATTGATGCGGTTGACGACGAGCCGCCGGTTGATGTGCAGCCTGCGTTCGTGCCGGCGAGTAAATCTTCGATTGAGAAGTTAGAGAGGGTGAAAGTGGAAGCCTCGTCGCAGGGGGTTTGTTGCTCGATTTGTCTGGCGGAGATTGTGGTTGGTTCCGAAGCACTTGGTATGCCGTGTTTGCATTTTTACCACGAGGAGTGCATTGTCGAGTGGTTGGAGAAAAGCCGGTTCTGCCCGCTGTGCCGCTTCTCAATGCCTACTGACGATCATTACTCATCATGATTGATTTCCTCATTGAAATTTGATGAATCATTATAGCTTGTTATTGTTTTTAGTAATCTGATTCATCGGCAAAAATCCTTTGATAATCGTCTACAAAAATCCTTGTTATGAGTCACCTCCAACAAACGTCGTTGCTAAGCTATCTTATAATAGCACAAAATATCTTCTTTTTTTTCCCCATAACTCTTGATCATTTTACTAATCCGATCTACTTCTTATTTTAAATTTTGCTTCCTGGTTTTTTCTCAAATTATCAATCATTGTTTAATGTTAACAATTGCAATTTAAATTAAGTTAGGTGTTAGAATTCAATAAATCTTAGTAATCTAAGGTGGAACGATTTACTACTTGTCCACTATGATACTTTTATGATTAATAAATTTTCGAGCATTAAAATTAAAAACTTAATTGACTTAATTCCGATTAGTCTAATATTCGCAGCAAAGTGAGGCAATAAGAAAAATATCAAAGAAATAAGTGTTGGAATCATGACCTAAACTAATGCTCAAAGAGGGAGAAGTAGAGAAAATTAATTAACCGAGGTGTATCGCTCATAACCATAGAAGTAGGGGCTGGTTTTATAATACAGTAAATATATGGTTGTACTCGAAAAAAAGGCAAAAGTAATTTGAAAACTTGAATCAAATTCGGGTGGAAACCCGACCCACTATGGAGGTGCCTCTAAAACCCAGCGAGTATCTGCAGACTTTGCATCGCAAACTTTTGTATCACCGTTTTGAACTGCAGTTGTTTCAGTAGCAACAGAGTTCGCACCTTCTTTCGTTAGTCAGGTCAGTTTTCGCTTCAGTTCTTCTATCTTTTCTCTGTTTGTTTCCTCAGAAAATCTCACGGAAAATATCTCAGAAAGTTTGAATTTTCCGTTGTATGACAATTTTCTGATTGAATTTTGAATTTTAGATTAGAGTGAAGGGGAGAGACTATTTTCATGGCTTTTCGTGGAGGTGCAAAGCGTTCTCTGGGTTCAATCCTGTGTAGCAGGGTGCTGCCGAACACTAGCTATACTTCTTCCACAGCTTCCGCTGCTTCTTCTGCTGCTAATGGGCGGGGGTTTTCTACCTGGGTTTCGAGCAAAAGGGCTTCATTTGCCCGCGCCGCGGAGATTCCGGCCTCATTTCCTCCGAAATTTGCCAGTACCCGATGTGGGTCTGCTCTCTTTCTTAGAGGTTTCAGCGTGGAAGCTTCTTCTGCTGATCAAATGAGTCTCATTAAGCAGCTGAGGGAGCGAACCAGTGCGCCGATCAAAGACGTTAAGGCTGCTCTCATTGATAGCAATTGGGACATTGGTCAGAACCCCTTTCTCCCCATTTTTGTTTATGCTAATTTGAATCGGTTATCTGTGTATTTTTTTTAATCCTTATTAAAGTTGGTTTCTTTATTGAAATGCAGAGGCTGCTCAGAAGGAATTGAGGAGGAGAGGGAAGGTTTTGGCGTCGAAAAAGTCATCTCGGATGGCTGCCGAGGGCTTGTTGGCACTGGCTCAGAATGAGAACAAGGCTGCTGTTATTGAACTTAACTGTGAGACTGACTTTGTTGCTCGAAATGATATCTTTCAATACTTGGTTAGTGTGACTGATATGATTCCTCCATAGTTTTTGAGTTCTATTTGATTAGTTGTTATTGTAAGTATATGGTTGCGTACTTTCATTTAGGACCATTCTCACCAATGGTTTTTGTTTTCATAAGAAATAAAGTAATTTCCATTGGTTTTTTCCTCGAACATTTACACTCCATTCTTATCGTCTTTCATTTTGAATATATCACAAATTTGCTAGACGTTGGAGCTCATAAATAATCGATTCTACCGTTCTTATAGGCCTTAGCTTTAGCAAAGAAAGCGTTGCTGGTTGAATGTTCTTCTCAACTGGTTTCTGGGGTCTTAAACATTGCCTCCAAGGATTTGGAGGTAAGCATTTTGCATTGCTTTATTAGTAGTGTTATTGTTTTCAACTTTTCATATGTTGGTCTAGAATCAATATGCAATTTCCTAGTCTTCAATGTTATTATGATTGCTCTGCCACTAACATGATGAGTCTTTTTAAGAACATTATCATGCACTGATCTTTGATTTAGTGAGTGGAAACCATAATGGTTCATTTACCTTGATTTATGGTTGCTCTTAATCTTTGTAATAGACCTGAGATATAATATTTCTATTTCTGGTGTATTCGTTCTCCACTGCTCGATGCATCTTATTCATTTTGTGTTGAATAAAAAAGTTTGATTCTTTTCAAAAGAAAAGGCTGAAATGAGAAAAGTTGTCCTTAAAGTAGGAAAAATGGCGACTGTTATATATACCCCGAAGTATTGATAAAACCTAGTTATAGCCATAGCAATGCACTCTATGCTTGTTGTAAGTTAAATATGCAATTATCGAAATCGGAGATCTTAATAATTTTCCGAAGTAAATTATATTTGTTAACTTATAGTAAACCTATTAGTTGAATTGAATTAATTTCCAATCCCTCTTTACAACTTTAACTGGAATTGGATTCCTGGAAACTTGTTCTTAAGTCGTTCAATCCCTACCAGGACTTGAAGTTAGATCTTGGACATCCAAAAGTTAGTGGAGAAACAACTGTTCAGAATGCAATTACAGAAGTAGCTGCAGTAATGGGGGAAAACGTTAAACTTAGAAGGGGTATTGTGATGTCTACATCTTCACATGGTGTTGTTTCTACCTACCTCCATACAAGTCCTCAACCAGGTAAGTGTTTACCTGCACGCAAAATATTGACTTTAAATGCTATGTGTTCCAGTCATTCAGATACTATCTTGATGCAGGACTAAAAATATCTGAGTTGAAAAGCATTTTTCACTTTGTTGTCATGTTTTATCTATTTCCAGGTTTAGGTCGTATTGCTGGAGTTTTATCTCTTGCAGTAGAGGACAAAATTACTCAATTGGATCCTATCCAGCGCATTGGTTCACAATTGGCAATGCATGTGGTGGCAGCGAAGCCTTTGTTCTTAACAAAGGAACTCGTTTCTTCTGATGCATTAGAAAGTGAGCGTGAAATTCTTAAGTCTCAGGTACTTAGTGATATCACGTTTTCTTTAATATACCCTCCTCTTAGCAATATTGTAAACATGAATTGAATGGTGATCTCTGTCAAGCAAGTCTAAATTTATCTAATTACATGTAGATATCGCCTTTCTATTTGTTTATAACACGATGTAGGATTCTAATTTAATGAATTTTTGTCATTCAATTCTATCTATCAATTGTCCTTTTGTAACATCAGGTTAGTTGTGTAATACTTTTAGCCATCTAATAACTTCCTTGAACTTCTTGATTTCATGTTTTTATGGGTCACCATTTTTGGGATTACTAATTCCTACAGTGGGTAAGAAATCACCGAAAATCCATCTTTTTGGATCAACTTAATGCTGGTAGTTCGCTATCCATTGAGTTATCAATTACTGAGGTTCAAAAACAATTTTCTCCTGAAATGAGCATAACAGAAGCTTTGATAATTTGATATTTATTTTGTAAACCAGAAAATATAGATGCATTTTGTCAAAGCTAGAAGGGACACCAAACATTACCGCTAATGGAAATTTTTGCGAAATTTAACTTTTTTCAATTGAACTTTGCATCATTACTCCAAAATGTTTGTGGCTAAGTGGTCTTTTTCACCAAATTAGCAGCACACCGTGGTCGCGAAACAAATATTTATGATTTCTTGCTACGAATAGAGCATAAAGATTTTTTTATGTATGAGACATCAACTGCAAAGCAGCATTATTGACCAAAAAAGAAATTTTGCTATTGACAAGTAACTTTTCAGATTTGTTGAGAAATTAAGCATAGTGGTAATGTGGAAGCCATTCTCTTTCTTTCTATTTCATTATTGGCTAAACATGTCGCTTCACCACAGTACTAGAGTTTATTAGGTAGTCTTGGGGACATCAACATGTATGCTCTTTTACTGTACTTCACAGTTCACACTCAGCTTGATCCTCATTCTCAGTTGATGGTGATGTTTCACCAATGATTGTGCTGATCCCTTTCATCTGTATATATAGAGAAAAGAAATAAACTCTCTTATTGCAAGTGTTTATACCAATTACTGCTTCTAATAACCACCTACTAGCCAGTAGTAATAACATTTGTTTTCTATTGATGTCAGGCTGAAAGTACAGGGAAGTCTCAAATGGCAATAGAGAAAATGGTGGAAGGTCGCTTGCGCAAGTACTATGAGGAAGTTGTCCTTATGGAGCAGAAGTTTATTATGGGCGATACCATAACCATAAAGGTGCACAATTGTTGTACTGTTTTATTTTAAAATTTTGTTAGATATAGTGATATACTCTAAAGAATTTCAATGATAAGATAAAATGTATTTATTATCTAAAAAACGTTGGAATTGTAAAGAATGAAGCAAAAGTGTGTAAATGAAAAGGAAGAAAAGAATTACACTAACTGCACCTTGTAAAACTTGAGTTTCAAACATAACAAGAATTTTGTTTTCCCACTGTGCATTTTGTTAGTCCAGATCCCCTATTGATCTTTCTGGTATTCTTGTGTTTATGTCATAAATGTTCCAACTCTGAATCCAAAATCCTCAACCCTTAACCTTCAAACTGGAATTGTTTTAGACATAAGAACAAGATCAAGATCAACAGGATCAGCAGAGGATTCTATTTCTCCCATTCTAAGTTCTTTGTGTTGATAATATCTAATGAGAACTTGTGCCTGGAAAATGTGTAAACTTGTATGAATATATGGAAATCTAACTGTTGTATTCATAAAAGTACATACAAAAATGTGTAAATTCATGTTGTTTTTTTGTAATCCAGGTACACATACATCATGCTTGTAAATACCATGGAAAAACAGTTATCCATCATTGATTTACATACATAAATGCATGAGTCCATGTATACATATACAAAATATTTCATTCATGCATGCACACATACTAAACAGCAGTGGTATGTCAGATCAGGTTAGGCCTTTGCCTACCCCAAATTTCTTCATATCTATTTGTTGAACTTCACCCTCCTTGCTTTTTGAGGAATGTCAGGGAATTGTTAGCTGGGTTTATTTTGATGTACTTGTAGTATCTTAGTTGCTTGTCGTTTGTAAAATGGTACCTGCATGTACAAGCTATGTTGTGCATTTGCTGACTCGTGTCTTACAACTTATCTGCAGAAACTTTTAGAAAATCTGTCTAAGGAAGTCGGATCACCTGTGAAGATTGAGAGCTTTTTCAGGATGGAAGTGGGAGAAGGAATTCAGAGGTAGAAATTCTTTGCTTATAGTTTATGCTTTTCCTGTCTTATTATGATTTTGACATTGCTATAGTAACATAATTGATTGGTGCCTAGACTAATGGCCATATTTCATAGTATCCTGTTATCGACTTCATCTATCATGATCAGGAACGTTAACATTGTTGCGGTTATCATCTTCATAATTGTTGTTTTACCTAGTTATAACTACTGGGAGTTTTGTTGTCTGATTTGGCTTTTATCGTTGAACTACTGTGTCAACATGAATGTGGTTGGGATCACAGCAATGGATTCTATGCTTCACATTCATCCTAAATACTCTCAGAAGTAATTGACCGTTGATGTTCGATCTAACTTCATTATTAAAAAATCCTTGGGTGGGAGCTGAAAGGTTTCCATATTTCCTTTGTGCATATAAGCCAATAATCTCATCCACCGAATCCGAAAACTATGGTTATCAAATGCTGGTTGATATTTAGTAGGCTGCATTTTATACCTGATCAACTCTAAGCAGTTGTATAGTATGACGTACATTATTAAACATTTGGACACCGTACGTACAGTTGGTCTATATGTGGCTTACTTTGTGTACTAATTATTTTTGGTCTATATGAGCAACAAAAAGTCCTCGTCTGATGATTGTGTTACTGATTATATGTACTTGCAGGCTAGAAGCATCTAGTACATCGGAACATGTGGCTCAGGCTATTTGAGGAAATGGGGGACGTTCACCATGGAAAAGTAGAGTTTAGTTTCAAACGGACCCTTAGAAATGGGATCGGGTTTGTGTCTCTTGATTTTTGCAGGTCCTAATGCTCTGAGTCTGAGATCTTACAAACAGCATGCTTGTGCTCACAAACGGTAGTTATGGCAATGTCCGAATGAGGTATTTTTGTTGGATTGATGTTTGCAGGCTCTGATGTATTGAGAGTTTGAAGTGCCACTTACAAATTTTGCGACGGATGTGAGATTATTTAACCTTTTGCCAACAAAAAAGATAGTAATAATGGAAACCCCAATGGTTAATATTGACCTATTTACTATCTCATATTTAGTGGACAGGGTATTGGGTTTATACCCATGCTTCTCGGGTTCTAAATGCTTCTTTTCCCAAATTAATTTAGTAGTTTCGAATTATCCCCCTCCCCTTAGTAATAGTAAAAATTTAAAGGTATGTGAATATATAGGCCTTAGAGCATCTTCAATGGAAGTCCCTATTTAGGGACTCCCACCACCACTTTTGAATACTTATTTAAGGACTTAAAAGGGAATCTTTGTGTCCCTAAAGGAATATTGCCAACAATGGTGGGGTTCTTATAGTAGAATCCCTAAATTTGAAGTTGTTATGGTTTTACGTGATAATTTGATTAGGTGCGCATTTTTTTGCTTATGTCAACTTTTTTTAATTAATTAAAAGCATTAAAATTAAAAGCATTGAAAGCTACAATTAAGATTGTGGGTCTCGTTTTCTACTCAAGGTTGTTCTTATACAATACCTATATGTAAGGATATACACTATGTATTCGGTGAGTGCCTATACATTAGGGACTCACTTTTCGATTCATTTTGTCCCTATATATGTTTTATACCCATTTTATACGATGGTTGTCCCTATTTAGGGACTCCATTGGAGATACTCTTATGTATGATTGGATTGGGTAACTTAGAAAATTGAAGGGATGTTGAAACTGAAGGTGAATGATTTTTCGTTTGAAGAGATAAGAAATTAGATGTGAAGGAAATTTATTCTGTCTAATTCTATCATTTTAGGGGATTGTAATGAATAAGTTTTCTTAAACAATAATCCTTCTTTCATTTTCAAGTTGGAGCAATTTTTTCATTAACTTCCTTCATTGCATCTTGAATATAGTGAGTTATCACGTTAATCAACCCTCTACAACAAATGAGGCTATAGTGTATTGAGTGAACTATTTTCACTAAAAGTGGTCTTTTACTACAGTGGTGAAAATGTGTTGGATCCTTGCATGACAAAGTGTGCTCAAACCTCGTCGGTGGTTAATCTAACTCCTAATCTAACAAAATCTATCGATTTTGGTTAACTTAAAAGCACCAAAGTAAGTCATTTAGTATTACGATCTAGTAGTATTTCTCTTCATTTGTAAATGAGAGGGTTTAAGTTTGAATCTAGTAGATATCAAGTTTGATACCAATTTATTTTCTCACCTTTTGTATTAATTTATTGTTGTATCAACAAATATGACTAAAAGTAATGGTGGAATCTAGGTCTTAGGTAGAGCATTGCTTGGTTCATGGCATTCGATGAGTTATTCTTTCTTAGCTATAAATTACGTATGCATAAAATAAGAAATAATTCTTTTTACATGTAAGCAATGTTCTAAAAAACGGCCTAGGCATTGGACGGTGGTGACCCGAGCCGTTTTCTTGCAAATCGATTGGAAAAATCAGTTGGACTCTAGGCGGGCGAGGCGGTTAGGAAGGGTTTTTTATTTTATTTTATTTTATTTTTAATTAAAAAAAAAATCCTATCTACATTACTATATTTCCTTATTTTCCTCCTATTTTGCATTTTATGTGGTTTTAAATTGTGAACTTATTGTACATGTGTCATCCTACAATACTCATCACTATGGTTCTATGGCATATATGCTTAATGTGTTTTTAAATTTTGGACTTGTTGGATATTCTTTTTGCATTTTGTTATTCTTTTATTATCTTATCTATGAATTTCATACAAGTTTAATTTTTATAAGTGTCAATATGCACTTATTTACAAGATATACAAGAAATTTATCTAAATCCGCCTAGACCCGCCTAGCCACCTAGGCGCTAGGCGCCAGTCCGCTGTCCGACTAGCGACTAACGTTTTTTAGAACCTTGCATGTAAGCAGTAAAGTGTTTTTCGAATTTTGTGTTATTAACGTTGGAATGTTGTAGGCATGCAAGCAAAACAGATGTATATCCCACACTGGCACTCAAAGGCTATACCAAAGAGTGAGATGTAGTCCAATAAGAGGGAGACAGGAAAAGGTGTTTTTATGAGATGGAAAGCAACTCTAATACCATAGTTAAAATGCGCCATATTTTGTCAACCAACATAAAAAGAATGGTACTATTTGCACACTTTTTTTATACCTCATACACATCTTTCTCAAATTTCGGCCATTAAATAGAATGAATTGAAGAAAATCAAAGGACAAAAATTTACAAAGGATATGTGAGAAGTAAAAATTGATGCATGGATAGCACCATCCTATAAAAATCATTAAAAAGAAAAACAATATTTAATATTAAATGGAGTATTATTTTAAAAAATAATAAGAGTTAATCAGATATAAGACCAATTTCGTAATTAAATATTAGGTTTAATCATGAATGCTTTGCTTATCAATTTAGATCCGTTTACTTCCAATCCAACAAAGAAACTTTCCTATTTTATACACTTAAGAATGTGTTTCTACAAAATCATGTAGTAAATGGTTGAACTGTTTTGGGTTTTGATCTACCATGATTTTAGAACCCATATGTAACAGCCCGTCGCGAAACGTACATTTGGAAATTACGATTTTACCCCTAATCTATTCGTTTACGTGTAGTTTTGTGTAGTGTTGTGTTGTAGGACCACACACACACTCACACATCACCCTCACTTTCCCGGGATTCCCTCCCTCATTCCCTCACTCTGTCTTCTCTCTCTCTCTCTCTCTCTCTCTCTCCCCGAGTCCATTTCCTCTCTTCTTCTTCTTCTTCTACACACAGACAACACACACATATACTCAAACCTTCACCAATCCAGGAACCAATTACACCATTGAACTCGTGAGGTTGTGAGGAGCACAACCATACCAATTCCAGGTAAGAATTCGAACGTTTTCACGTAGTTTCAACGAGGTCCGATTATTGCACTGTTCATGCAAACCTAAACTAGTGTGTTTTTGGAATTTCTAAGCTTGTAGATGTGTTTGTGAGGTCCCAAGGAGCTTGGGAGTGGTTCGTTGGGTGAATTTGGACGTCACGATCGTCCTGTGCAAAGTTGGCCGAGTTTTGACCTTGAAGACAGGTGAGATTTCATGGTTTTTAGGCCTTAAAACTAGTCTAACGTTGTTCTACTAGTCCTAGGCTTCATTTTGGTATAAAGAACGTGAAATTTGGTTGAAAAACGAAGGAGAAAACAAGGTTTGAAAAATTCCCAGTTTTCCGGCGACGGCGCCGGCGACGGCGACTGGCCGGAGAAGAAAGAAGAATATTCCGTTAAGTTTAACGGAATATTCCTAACGGCAGTGACGGCGTCAGTTAACGGCGTCAGTTAAGGTTAACGGAATATTCCTGACGGCGTCTGTTGACACCGTCAGTGTGCAGTGCACGTGACTGCGCGTGGGGGCGCGTGGGTCAGTGACTGTTCAGGCGCGTGGGGGCGCGTGCGTGGTCCAAAAATTATTTTAAAAATATGGGTGTGATCCTGAGGTTGTGTAGATCACGTTGGTATATTCAATTGTCCAATTTGAGCAATGTATGAGAAGTTATTACGAGAAGTTGCTTAGGTGCTTTTAAATTAATATTTTCGTAACTTTGTTGCGTATAGGTGATTCGTTTTCCGAAGACGAGCGTACACACTCGAGGCAGGGGGGCTACGACCCTTCTAATTACCAGTGAGTGGGCTTTTGTTTTCCGTATATACCTATATACATTTATATTCCCAGAAATTAAATAGAAAAGGTTATTGTTTTATGCCATACATTTTATTATTAATACTTATGCATCATTACATGCATTAGTAACGGCATACAGTTATAAATGTGTATTTGGTGCTGTGGACGCACAGGTAAGTGCCAGGTAAGTGGTATTTATGTTGTTATGCAATGGTAGTTTGAGATGTTTAGAGAGCTCATAATCTGCACCCCGGTGTTAGTGCTCCCGCCCAGGGCCAGGGCATAGTCCTTCACGTGATGTTCACCCGCACCACACGCTCGTCTTGGATCCAAGTTAGGTGCAAGCCTTGTCGTACAGACCACATTAGGTGGTTCCGACTCGTAGGTGACCGCGATTATTCGCATAGTCTTCACGTGATCGTAGCACTAGAGCGTATATATACTACACCCAGTCTTGTCGTACAGACCACGTTAGGTGGTTCCGACTCGTGTGCAGATTCAGATATTGAGTTGAGTTTAGAGCTCTATATGCAGCCGTACAGGTCACGTTAGGTGACTCCCGGCTGCCAGTTTATATGTGATTGATGTGAATTACGCTTGAGCATTTACATTTGATTATGAGATTCTGTTGTGTCATATTCTCAAGCATGAATGGCATATTGTGAGCATAAATGGCATATGTGGAGCATGATTGACATACCTATACATACGTATATATGTTCATTTTCTGGGAAGTATACAGGTTTTACGGCGAGGGGTTAGAATGTATTTTGCTAAAGAGTTTTCAAAGAGCTTTGTTTTTGCCCACTCACGCTTTTGTTTTTGCGCCCCTCCAGGTTCTAGTGGTCTAGCAAGTTCAGTGGTTTATCCCAGAGGGCGTCCCGGCATTTCTGACAGACACTCACCATTGTAGGGTCACCTTCGGGTGTAAATACATCGTATCTTTTCCTTTTGGACTGTTGTAGAATTGCTCTGAATTGTGTCTCACATACACTAGTACTTTGTATGCTATTAGGTTTTTATTTATTCGTACTTTTATATTACCTTCTTATTAGCTTCCGCACGCGCACATGGTTACGTCACCTTCGGGTGACGGCCAGCACGCCCTGATCTCGGTCGGGGTGTGTCAGCTTGGTATCAGAGCCTAGGTTTGGCAGTCCTGTGTCTTTGTGAGTATTCTAATAGTTGGTGTCTTCTGTCAGAATCATGCCGCCTCGTCGGGAACCACGTCGCTCAGATGAGCCTAGTTTCCCTGATCTTACTCAGTTGGGGGAAGTGATTGCTACAGCCCTTCAAACAGTGATGCGCCCTCCCCAGAGGACTCCTCTGGAGACTATGTATAACCTGAAGTTGGATAAGTTTAAAGGTAACGAGGGTCATGAAGGCGCAGAACGTTGGTTAGAACACATAGAGAAGACTTTCCGTGTGTTGCATAACCAGGGGAACCTTCCTATGGAAAGGTGGGTCGAGACAACGTCATGGTTTCTGGAGATGGAGTCTGCAGCTTGGTGGGAGCAAGAACTTCGTAGGTTGACTCCAGCTCAGAGAACCGATTGGAATGTTTTCAAGGATGTGTTTCAGAGGAGATTTGTACCCCCTGAGTATATCGACCGTAAGAAACAGGAATTCACTGAGTTGAAACAGCGAAAGATGACGGCTAACGAGTATTATCGTAAGTTCACTGATTTGTCTCGTTACTATCCTGATGTCGCTGGTAATCCGGCCGAGATGCTTCGTCGTTTTCGCTTGGGCACTAAGAAGAAATGGCGTTCTATGGTGACTACTACTCACTGTGAGTCCTACCAGGAGTTCTATGAAATACTATTGAGGGTTGAGGACTCAGAGAATATGTCAAGTGATAGTGACGAAGAGAAAAACGGCAATCAGAAGAAAGACGACAAAGGAAAAGGTCAAACATCGCTGGGGCCTCGCCAAACTCAGAACTTCAAAAGGGGTGGTGCAAGTTCAAGTTCGTCTAGTGGTGGTTTCAGTGCCTCTGGACAAGGACGTGGAGGTAGGTTTTATGGAGGTGCTCGAGGCCAGAGACAAGGTGATGGTGGCCGAAACCGAGTTCCATTTTGCCATAGATGTAATAACCGACATTTCGGCGAGTGCAGACGTGGCAGCGGTGGTTGTTTCACGTGTGGACAGATGGGACATCGAGCGGTGAATTGTCCTCAGGGTCAGCAGCAGAAGCCGCAGCAGACCGTTATGCCGCCACCTGCACCGATTCTGCAAATCCAGGGTCCGAGTAATTATGGTCAAGCAGGTAGAGGTGGTGCCTATCACTATCAGGGTGATGCTGTTCCCTATGCCCCGGGACCGTATCAGTACCCCCAGGATCCGTATTCACAAGGTGGTTATCCCATGTATCCCAGCAACTACTTGCCGTATCCTCCAGCTCCTACAGGTGGTTCTCAGTGGTACCAAGGAGGACAATATCAGCAGAGTGAGAATGCCACTAGTAGTGCAGGATCTTCGAGACAGATGGGTCAGCCCAGTCAGGGGCGTGGAGCTCAAGGTCGCGGTGTTCATGCGAGCAGAGGTCGTGGAGGACGACAGCAGGGCCAGGGGCGTATTCACAATATTTCCCTGCAGGATGCTCAGAACAACCCGGACTTGATAATGGGTACGTTAAATATTCTTGGTTATTTTGCTAGAGTTTTAATTGATTGTGGAGCTACACATTCCGTTATTTCTCATACATTTGCTCAAGTAACGCAACCTCGCCCCACACCTCTAGGGTACGATTTAGAGTTCGCTATGCCTAGAGGAGAGAGATGTGTTGTAGATTGTATGTACCCAGGATGTCCAGTGATAGTAGAGGGTGTTGTTATGCCCGCTGATCTTATCCCGTTAGATATTGTCGATTTTGATGTGATTTTGGGCACGAATTGGTTGCACTTCTATCGTGCTAACATTGATTGTTACGGGAAAGTAGTTACGTTTCACCGTCCTGGATTACCTGAGGTTACTTTGGTGGGTGAGCAGAGCGGAGTAAGACACGGCGTTATTTCGGCTTTGCGAGCGAAAAAGATGTTGTCTAAAGGTTGTCAGGGGTATCTAGCTCATGTGGTGCTAGAGGAGACCGTTCCTAGCAGAATTGAGGATGTGAGAGTGGTTAGACACTTCCCTGATGTTTTTCCTGAGGATTTACCGGGTTTACCCCCAGATCGAGATGTGGAGTTCAATATTGAGTTGCTTCCAGGTACCAATCCTATTTCTTTGACTCCTTATCGTATGGCTCCTGCTGAGTTAAGGGAATTGAAAGTGCAGTTACAGGAATTAGTGGATAAGGGATTTATTCAGCCTAGTACTTCACCTTGGGGAGCTCCAGTGTTGTTTGTGAGAAAGAAAGATGGGACTTTGAGGCTGTGTATCGACTACAGACAATTGAATCGGGTGACGATTAAAAACCGTTATCCATTGCCTCGTATCGACGATTTGTTTGATCAACTGAGAGGTGCTTGTGTATTTTCTAAGATAGACTTGAGGTCTGGGTACTATCAGCTGAAGATTAGTAGGGATGATGTTCCTAAGACGGCGTTCAGGACTCGTTACGGTCATTATGAGTTTCTAGTTATGCCATTTGGATTGACGAATGCACCAGCAGCTTTTATGGATTTGATGAACCGGGTATTCCAGCCTTACCTGGATAGATTTGTTATTGTCTTCATTGACGATATTCTGGTGTATTCTAAGTCCAAAGCAGAGCATGTTCGACATCTTACTTTGGTGTTGAAGAGGTTGAGGGAACACCAATTGTATGCTAAGTTTAGCAAGTGCCAGTTCTGGTTAGATCAAGTCGCATTTTTGGGGCACATCATTTCTGCTCAAGGTATTCTTGTTGATCCTCAAAAGGTTGCAGCTGTGGAGAGTTGGGAGCAACCACGAACCGTCACTGAGGTAAGAAGTTTCATCGGTTTGACGGGATATTATCGGAGATTCGTTAAGGATTTTTCGGTGATTGCCTTGCCACTGACGAGGTTAACAAGGAAAGATGTTAAGTTTGAGTGGAATGATAAGTGTGAGCAAAGTTTCCAGCAGTTGAAGCATTGTCTTACTAATGCACCTGTTTTGGCACTTCCGGACGATAGTGGTGATTTCGAGGTTTATAGTGATGCTTCCTTGAATGGTCTGGGATGTGTATTGATGCAGCATGGTAGGGTGATTGCTTATGCTTCGCGGCAGTTGAAAACCCATGAGACGAATTACCCTACACATGATTTGGAGTTGGCTGCTATCATCTTTGCGTTGAAGTTGTGGAGACATTATCTTTACGGAGAGAAGTGTAGGATCTTCACAGATCACAAGAGTCTTCAGTATCTCTTCACCCAGAAGGAACTAAATCTTCGTCAACGGAGGTGGTTGGAGTTGCTCAGCGATTACGATTGCACGATTGATTATCACCCAGGTCGTGCGAACGTAGTAGCCGACGCACTTAGCAGGAAGTCACATGGCCGTATTAATGCGTTGTACGCTAGTCGTATTCCTCTTTTGGTAGACTTGCGTGCTACGGGAGTAAGGTTAGAAGCAGAAGATCGAGAAGTGGCGTTACTTGCTAATTTTCAAGTTAGGCCAATCTTAGTTGATCGGGTGCTTGAAGCTCAAGTAGCTGATAAACAGACTCAAGAACTAATTCGAGCTCGAGATCAAGGAAGGAGGCGAGACCTCAGAGTTCGTGATTCTGATGGCATGTTGATGTTAGAGGGTAGAATGTTCGTGCCTAGTAATGTGGATTTGAAGAAGGAAATTCTCGATGAAGCACATATCTCGGCTTATGCCATGCACCCAGGGGCAACTAAAATGTATCATACCATTCGACCATTTTACTATTGGCCGGGTATAAAAAGGGAGATAGCTGAGTATGTGAGCAGTTGTGCTGTTTGTCAGCAGGTTAAAGCAGAAAGAAAGAAGCCGTTTGGATTGTTGCAGCCGCTTCCCGTTCCAGAGTGGAAGTGGGAAAATATCACTATGGATTTTGTGTACAAGTTGCCGCGTACACATAATGGCTTTGATGGCATTTGGGTGATCGTTGATCGGCTCACTAAGTCGGCACATTTCATTCCAGTGAGAGAGAAGTATTCTTTGAGCCGGTTAGCAGAATTGTTTATCTCAAGGGTTGTAAAATACCATGGTGTCCCTGTAAGTATTGTCTCGGATCGTGATCCACGATTCACATCGAAGTTTTGGGTAGCTTTTCAGGAAGCTTTGGGTACGAGACTACTTTACAGTACGGCGTATCATCCACAGACGGACGGACAATCCGAGAGAACTATTCAGACCTTGGAAGATATGCTGCGAGCATCAGTGTTACAGTTCAGTGATGCTTGGCACCAACGGTTGGATTTGATGGAATTTGCTTACAACAACAGTTTCCATACGAGCATTGGCATGGCGCCATTTGAAGCCTTGTATGGTAGATCTTGTCGCACTCCGTTGTGTTGGTCAGAGGTTGGCGAAAGAGTCTTAGTAGGTCCGGAGATTGTTGAGGAGACTACTCAAAATATTCAGGTAATTAGGTCTAACCTGAAAGCAGCTCAGGACAGGCAGAAAAGTTTAGCAGATCGACATGCTACGGACAGAACGTATAAGGTCGGAGATTGGGTATTTCTGAAGCTTTCACCGTGGAGAGGTGTTGTGCGGTTTGGAAAGAAAGGGAAGTTGAGTCCCAGGTACATTGGACCGTACACGGTCACAGAACGAGTTGGTGAGGTAGCTTACAGGTTGGAGTTGCCTCCGGAGTTGGCTAAAGTGCATAACGTTTTTCACGTGTCTATGCTCCGACATTATGTTGCCGATCCGTTGCATGTGATACCTCCTCAACCGTTAGAGATAAATCCAGATTTGACGTACGACGAGGAACCGTTAACGATCTTGGATTGGAAAGAGAAGGT